TGGAGTCGTCATTCTGTCGCACGTGTGTGGTGTCGCAATGATCGTCCACCCTACAGGAAAAATGGAATGGTGTATTTCTGGAAAAATATGAAGAGATAAGGAATTCTTGTCTCTTATTATTAAAAAATTGGGATGGGAGTCACCACCTAGTATTCTAGTCACTAGGAACCCTAACTAGTCTTAGAGATGGGGTACAGAGAGTGATTGCGTAAATGGAAGGTATTAACACTCTAAATATACCCTATCTAAGGTAAGTTGCATTTGTTTTATATGATAAAATCTAAGATTACGTTATGATGTCTAATTATTGATCTGTCTAATGTTTAAGAAAAGTCTTTCTCTGTAAGGAGATCCTTATCTTATCAGGTAAAAACCTAACTATTTTATGTCTTTAATAAAAAAAATACCTTTTTAATATTGAAAATATGTTTTATGTATAAATTCATAATCTCTGATACTAAATAAATAAATAAATTTTTTTATTGTTTTTGAAATTTTAGCTAATGTTCTCTTGATTTTAATAAATTGGTTATTAAAATCAAAATACATGCTAAAACATTGTTCTTTGGTGTATGCAAAATGGGCTAGGGCTGGCTCATTATACTATAATTGGCTGGTTACTGTACAGTAACTAGCTAGCTATGTTCATTTGGCTGCAGAACAAGCTCACGTTCTGCATGCAAAATAAACATAAGGCATAAGGGATGGAGAAGGAAAAGAAGGAAGAAGAGAGAGGTGGGGGAACTGACATGTGGTGATTGTTGTGGAGGCTCACGGTGGTGCTTGTGGTGGAAAAGGTGCCGACGGTGGCTTCAGTGGCGGTCCTTCTCTCCTTTCTCCTCTGTTTTCCTTCTCTTCTTCTTTGTTTCTTCTTCTTCTTCTTTTTGTTTTGTTTTTTTCCTTTACTCCTTTCTCTCTCTTTTCTTCTCCTCTGTCCTCTTCCCTCTTGTGTCTCTCTTGTTATGTTCACTCTTTTTTTTCCTTCCTCTTTTTTTATTTTTATTTTTTTTGTTCCCCTTCCCTATTTTTATAGGAAAAAACAAGGGAGGGTAATGTGGCTGGGATGACCTCTGTGCTGTCGTTCCTCCACCGCCCCTTTAACACATGGAAAGTGGGTTGTGTCAGCGTTATTTTGAAGTCATTAGAGGGAGGGAAGTTGGTGAGAAACTGAGGAGAAAAAAAATCTTCTTCCCCTGTTCTTTGCATATCCAGGGGAAAAAGATAATGGTGTCGTTTAAAATAGCATTGTTTTAGTGTTATGTTTTTTTTAATGAACAGTGAATGCAATGACACTGTTTTGGTCATAACACGCCTTTTCATTCAAATGAAAAGGTGGCAAAAACATGTTAATTTTTACATTGGTCCTCAATTTGTAATTTGTTCAATCAAGTCCTAAATTATAATTATAATTTAAAAATAATACAATTGCATCCTTGTCAAAAATCCAATAATGGCCGTGAAGTTGACCACCTTTTTCACTTTGGTCCTTCTTTTTGAAATTATGCAATTTGACTCTTAATTGAGTAATAAACTTCTAATTTCTTTAATTGGGCCCCTGATCCAGTTTTAATTTCAGCCCTTCTATTTACACGTCTTTTTCATTTTAATTCTTGGTTTTATATTTCTTTAATTAAATCTCTAATTGGTCATCAAGCTTCAATATTTATGCAATTAAGCCCCCAATTTGACTAAATTAACTTTCAAAAATTATAATTTGACCTCAAAAATTTAATTTCTTCCAATTAAAGCCCAAATTGACTCTAAAATCAATTTTTCTTCCAATCAAACCCTCTATAAATTCAATTAAACCTTCAATTAAATTTAATTGAGTCCATAAACATATGATTTTGGACTTTTCTTACTCATTGAATTTTCTTTGTCAAAAGGGTTGTCACCAGTCAATAAAATACTAACAAATTTTAATCTTTGTATTTTTAAACCTTTTTAACCAATTTTTACCTATTTTTAGGCTTGTTGACTTTCTTTTTTCACTGTTTATATTTTTTGATTTTTTGTATCTTATTATTTTTTACGTGGGGGCCCAAAAATGGGTTATAACATGTCTAATAACTTACAACTGACCAAATCTTAAATCTTTCAATTATAAGATGAACAATGTGCGGCGTAGTTCAAAACATATGTAAATACTATCACAAGTTCATTATCTATTAGAATACTTAATTTTGTTACATAATTTTTTATTACTATTCAGTGTTGTACTTGATGCATTAGGTTATAAAATGGGAAGGAATGCTAGTGTTACATTTTCTTTACTAAGTTTGGGTTATGAAAGAAAAATGAAATGCTACAAAGGGTATTTTGCTAATGGGTACGTGTTTTTATCCAAATGAAATCTTTTTATCATAGCAAGGTAATTGAACTGCAAATCACACATAAATGAGGTTCCAATTGGATTATAAATTGTTAACATGATTATATTAGTTAACTTATTTGAATAATGTTAATACTTGTAAATGTTATTAGATATTCATGATTATAACTTGTGTTAACAACAAATTAAGTTCTTTTCATAACACAGGTGTCGATTATACCATACGGTTTGTGCCATGAAAGTGTCAAGCATTTGTTATATCAAGGTTATCAACATAAATCTAGATTAATCATTTAAGAAGTAAAGTATTAAGAGTGAATAAGATAACAAATACAAAACATGTTAGTATCAAACATTAAAGTCCATGTTGAGTTTATACTATACTTATTCTTACACCATTAGTGTAAACTTCTCACCTTGATATGATAAATTTAGCTAAATACAATAAAAAATAGAAACATGAATACACATGATAAACTTGACATGGTAAATGCCACCTTTTATAGGTAAAAATTTAAAACTATTAATTTGATGACTAATTGTTGAGTGGGTGACCAACTCTTGACTTGGTGACAATCCTTATCTTTTTTTCTGAACAAAACATCATTACTAACATCAAAATTTAAATAGACTTAAATCATAAAAGTTCTAGGAAATTGCCTTAGTTTTTCAAACAAAAAAATTGAGGTTATTTGAACTTCTAAAACTCAAGATATGGATTGAACACTGAACAGTGTCTGGGTTTCAGGATAGATTCAGATTTCTTTTTTAATGCTAAGATTTGGACCTTCAAACTACAGAATTGAGTTTTGGATAATCATGAAAGTTTTAGGCCTATATTTTAGCTTTCCATCCATATAGAGCAAACCCAAATCTAAATTCTACAATTATAGATATGACTTAATGACTGAATAGTGTTCCAGTTTGGACTGAACCAATATCTGTTTTCTAAGCTTCACCCTCTCTTTGTTTTCTCAATTTTAGTAGTTGAACTCATTAATTAATCATTTGATTTATGTGATAGGTTATACTTAAGCAGATATATTTAATAATTTTGATATATTTTCTCAACTCTTATTGATTTGATTTGTGCGAGAAATTAAGGACCCACTTGATGAAAATATTTATAACCCTAAGAAGACTTCTATTTGAGGACCAAATTGAAACTCTTCAAAAACATTGATGGTTTTGTGTAAGTCATTTGACATGATAATTTTTTCTTTATTGCATCACACAATTTTAAATTTTAAATCTTTTTTTTTAATAATGATTTCTTAATTCAACATTCTCATTTTAATATTTGATGAACACTAATTAAGCATTATGATTTTGTTTTTAGCTACGGCAACAAATTTTGCGTCAGCCCTCTGCAGTATTAATATTTCTGGTGCTCTTTCTCCTTGTTGGCTCTCTCTCGTCTCCTGCTAAAGTGTGGGTCCTGCTCAATTATTTTGGAGTGGATGGGAAATTAATTTTAATTTTTAAATTTGAGGACGAAATCTTGTTGGAAGTTTGGGTGAGATAATTTGAGTACCATGTTACGAAATCTTTTTTAATTTACTTCTTGCTAATGTAGAGTTTTAAGGTCTTGTATTTAGGTTTTCCTGGATCCCATTTCGGCTGTGTTAATTTGGGGTTTGGTTCAAGAACAAAACCTTAGGGACCTTGTAAGGTGGACCCGGAAATGATCTTAGATTTGGAGTCTAATATTGGGCCGGTCTCACTTTTAATAGTTGGGCCGAAAGCAAACTAAAATGAAGAAATTGGATCAATTGCTATCATAGGTAGAAAACTAATATGGTAGAAATCGACAGTCACCCACTTTTTATTATTATTTTTTTCATTTTCTGTCTTTTTTTTCACTAAAGGGTTTTGAATTTTTTTAATTTTATCCTTCAATCATTGAATTTTTTAACAATTAAATTTTATTATTTATTTTGATTTATTTTTATAGGAATATTTTGTTCTTATAACTTAGGTGTTGACTTTTTAGTTTATTCTCAATTAATTTGAGTTTTTTTTATTTTTATTTTTTAATATTAGGTTAATTGAGAAATAATCTTTATAATTATTTTTCTATTTTTTTTATGAAATTATCCCGATTTCATAATCAAGATTACAAGTTTGGAAGAAAAACCTAAATTGACAAGGGTTATTTTTTTTTGTCTTTTTTAGTTGAATTGATTTTCACTTTCATTATTTTTCACTTTCATCCTTTAATACTAGGTTAATTAAGAATTCAGCTTCATAATTTATTTTAATTTATTTTTTATTGGGTTATCATGATTTCATAACCTAAATTGCAGATTTAGTAAATTAACCATAATAAATACAATATATTATAGTTTTAATATTTAAAAAATAAATGATGTCCCCATGTTGTTGCTCATTATTTGAGTTTTCTTTCAATCAAGTCACATTAAATTAACAACATGATTTAAATCTTTTTTAATAGAAAATACAGTAACAACAGCTATATATATATATTGAAAAAATTAAATAGATAAATATCATTAAACCATGTTAATGAGATGTAGTTGGATTAATATTAGTATTTTGTTTTAAATAATATTAGTTTCAACCTCTTTAAATAAAGCAATAATATTCTTGAATTACAAAACAATATTTTATTTTATAAAAAGAACAGACTATCCTTTATTTTTCATCTTTGGTTTGCAGCATAATCACGTAGGTCCAACAAAACAAAATAAATATTTCTACTTCTTCCTATATGGAAAAGTAGGGATACTTTGTTCATTCCTAAAGAAATTACCTGGATCAACCTTAGTCTTGATTTTAACCAACCTGTTGAAATTCTCCTGAAAATACTTGATTCCATAAACTCTTCCTTCCAAGTAGCTTTCCTTGCCATTGTGATTGATACCCAAGTCTAGGTCTCTATAGTTAAGGAATGCTTGCCTAGGATTCTTGGACACGAAGGGAGTCATGTAACTATAGAGTTGCCTTGTCAAATCTATGTAATAATTTGCTACTTCTTGACCACCTTCATTCCAGTTTGTTGCATATTGAATCTTCCATAAGTTCCCAGCTCTATGTGGAAAAGGTCTTTCAGTTGCTGGAATCTCCCACATTTTTCCTCCATAAGGATTGAAAGTAAGCTGCGGCACTTGTAGCTCAATCATTATCTTCCAAATCCCCTCCAAACCATCCCTTGGGATTGGCTTTTGTACATAATCTGATTTCCTTTTCAAGTGAACCAGTGATTGTGGTGTTCTACTTAGCAAAGCATCAGTTGGTGTCCCAAGAGGGAAATCTGTCCAGAAAAGGACTGATTCAAGCCAGCTCATTTCGATGCAGTCTGACCGAAGCAAACCCAGTTTAGGGAAGCTTGCATTCGTGATAGAAAGGAGTCTTTCAGAGTCTCCAAGAAACAATGCTCGGAATGTAGTCCTTACCGTCTTTTCACCGATTCGAGTAGTACTGTTTACGACGTCCATGGAAAGTCTAATGAAAAGGTCATCGTCAATATTGTATGCAACTTGTTGCCACTGTTCAACAATATCTGTTGCATTTTGGTCGACTGTTCTTCGAACCCGAAAAACAGTGACAACTTCAGGAACACGAACGATTTTAATTTTATATGCCAGAACAACTCCAAAGCTTGATCCTCCTCCACCTGTTATAGCCCAGAATAAATCTTCTCCCATAGATTTTCTATCAAGAAGTCTTCCATTAACATCAACCATTGTCGCATCAATGATGTTGTCGACGGAAAGGCCATATTTTCTCATCATGTTGCCATATCCACCACCACCGAAGTGACCACCAACACCAACTGTAGGGCAAACACCCGCTGGAAAACCATGTGCTTTGCTTTTCTCAGAAACTCTATAGTAAACTTCTCCTAGGGTTGCTCCGACTTGAATCCAAGCAGTCTCACTAGCTACATCAACATCAATTGATCGAAGGTTGAACATGTCGAGGACAAAGAATGGGACATCTGACACATAAGAAACACCTTCATAATCATGACCCCCACTTCGAATTTTCATTTGCAAGTTATGTTCACGAGCACAAATGATGGCAGATTGCACATGAGAGTCATGCAATGCAGTGAGAATAAGAAGTGGTTTCGGGGTTGTGGACATGTTGAATCGAAGATTTCGAATATAAGATTGCAAGACAGATGAGTATGAATCATTGTTCGGAGTGTAAATTGCTGTGGAGATTGGGTATGAGGGTTGGGAATGGTTTAAAAGACATTGGAGAAAATTTTCATGAGCTAAATCTGAAGTCGCCTCCCATGAGATGGATAGGAGAAAAAGTAAAAGCAATGCGAACATTTTAGACCTTAACATTTTGGTTTGTTCAAGAGATTTGAGGTTGTCTTCTAATCTTGGTTTATGGGGTTTAATTTATAATGCTTGATTTGCCTTAAAATAACAAATTAAAAAAATGTTATCGGATCATGCAAGTCACCTCCCAAATATCTGACTAGAAAAATTCAAAGGACGCCAAAAATTAAAAATCTAGCTAATTAATCCACCATTGACATTTAAAATTAAGATATTCCATGTCAATCTTATTGGAGAAAGCATCATTAAATAAATTTATAGATTACCTTTTGGCATACGCCATTTCAACTGTGATTGAGAATCCTTGATTACATGAGTTAAAAAAAAAAAAAAACTACATATTTTTTCCCGTTGAGATCAGTTCAGGTCATAAGAAGAAAATGGGGTCGATATTAGATATGTCAAATTCGATTAGTGGTGATTTGTGTAATGCATTATAAAGGAAAATCATCATTTGTGGGCAAACTGCATGTTCTAAAAGGCACATGTATGCCTCCTGGCGCTGCATATGTATAAGTGGCAATTAAAATGAAGAGTGAGTAAAATTATTTTATAAAAAATATTTTTAGTTGAGGATGATTTGATATTTTTATATATTTTATTAAAGCTGTGGTTGAAATTGAGGTTAAAAAAATAATTTAATGTGCTTGAATAAGAATGCTTTTTAAATTGATGTTATAAAATAATATATATATATATATATTGATGGTTTTTAATTTATTTATTGTAGATTTAACTACTGTTATTATATTATGAAATAAATAATGATTTATATAAAATATTTTTTATTATTCTATTAAACTATTTACAATTTCATTACATATGAAATACATCCAACAAGAACTACAATTTCTTGGTTTCTTAAGTACACAACAACATCGGGTAAAATATTATGAGGAATAAAATTAAAAATACTATTAAATTCTGCAAATGTTACACTATCATGTGTTTTCTTTTTAATTTATATAGTATTATTGAATAATATTAAACATTATTTTTTCAAATAAAATATATTTAAAAATTTTAATTTTTTTACTGTTCATGTTAATAGTGCAAATAAATAAATTCATTATATAGTTCACGTGAATAGTATAAAAAAATTAAAATTAATTGTGTTTTATATTAATATGTTGCTCTTTTTACGTAAACAATGTAAAATTTCACTATATTATTTACATGTTCATTTATATGCTGAATTCACTCTACACTGTTAACTTAATAAAAATAAACAGTAATAAACAGTGCTGGTGAAGCAGCTCAATCCTGCTTCTCTTGAAACTATTTTTCATTGCTATAATTTGTGGATTCCATGTATGAAAAATACCGATTTCAACCTTAATCAAACACAATTAATTTATAATTTTTTCAAAACACAGCTACTGCAGTGTAGAGAAACACACTCGAAGTAGAAGAACTCCATAGAGTGTGCATATTCGAGTTTTGTTCACACACACACAATGTTATCAAAATAATATAGCAAGGCGAAGAGAAAGGAACTGTTAAGGCTCTAGGCGCGAGGATGCGCCAACGAAAGCACATTGCCTAGAATTCGGCAGCGATGGACAGCGGCAGCCTTGCATAGGCAGAAACGAATTCGGCAGGCAGCGTGCAATGGTCTATGCGAGTCGTTGAGCTTGCGACTTGGCATGGACGTGGGGGCTTAGGTGATGGACCTTCTAAGTCAGCAGTTGACGCAGCAGAATAGGCAGTAGGGACTGCCATGCGGATAGGCAGAAGATGGCTGTATCATGGGGGCAAAATGTGGGGAAGTGGCAGCTGAGTGGGGAAAGGAAGTGCTCCACTTTGTAAGCCACTAAGTTCATGGGAGAGCAAGTGCTCCACTATGCCCCAAAAATAAGGGATCATGGAGATCATGGGGAGTAAGTGCCCCATTATGGCCTGAAAAATAGGGATTATAGGTGAGCCTAGCAACTCACACTTGTCTATAAATAGGCTGCCAAGCCTCTGCTGTGTAGCATGCGATTTTGTGCATAGCACATACACTTGTATTGTGTAATCCTTTGTTGATGAGATAAATAAAGGTTGAGAGGTATTCTTGTAAACTTGTGTGCTTGCTTGTGTTTATTCCTTTTATACGACTTGACAATTGTGGGAACTTCGTTGGGTGAGCGAAACACATAGTCGTAGGAAACACGAGCGAAAAGGGAAGGCAAGACTGAGTTTAGTTGGGACTAGACTGCCACATTGGGTTGGATTTTCGTTGCGAAAAATTTAACCCCGTGACAGGAACCATGACAATTAGGCATTTCAACTCAAATTAGTAGCTCATTAGTTAAGGGATGAGATCACAATTTGTGAGACTATGATTTGAGCTCAACTCTCCACAACGCATTATAATGCCTCTAGACAATAAATTTTATCACACAATTAAATGAATATAAAATTGCTTTTATTTGACAAACAAGCCAATTCTGCACTATTTTCTAAGCAAATGAAGCTGACTCTCTCATTTCACAATAAATTTTTCAACGTAATCTCGATTAGCTATCAATAGTCGTCTTGGAAAAGATAAGTCTTAGAAGACTCAATCGCCATGCATTTAAAAGCAATGTGTCATCTCTGAACGACCTACAAAAAATCATCTTGTTTATCCAGAAAATCAATTCACATAAAAATTAAAAAAACTAACTTAAGCATGAGATAGTTGTTTTGCAAGTGATACCAACATAATTCACACCACTACAACTTAGTTCATTGTTTCGAAAAAAAATAAAATTCAGAGACTTCATCTCTCATGAATCCTATTTTAACTAACAATTATCAAAGTTTGAGTTTTACCTGACCTACACTCGAGGTGTTTCACGTCGAATTGTCAAAATTTAAATTTTAGTGATAATTTTTCAAGTACCACATAATCATATTTTTATTTTGAAGGAAATGTCATTCCAAGTACAATTTACAACAACATTTCTAATAAAAGATGTTTTTAGCTCCGATTTATAAGAGAAACATTACACACACACACACACACACACACACACATATATATATATATATATATATATTTAATTAGCAGCATTTATTTTATCTTAATTTAAAATGAAAATATTGATTCTCACCAATATCGAATCTAAATACACTTATAATAATGGTATTTATTTCTGAAAACGTTTCCTCTGAATTTCAATTTGTTAGTAGTTCAACTTGGCTAATGGCTAAGCCTCATCTCGTTAGAGTGTTTGACCCACTAGATGGTCAACTTGTAACGTGTGGTGAACATGGAAACACCCCTTTTTGGGACTGCGGCGATTAGTATTTTGACCCAAAAAAGAAAAGTCAAATATCTGCTCATCAGGCCGGTGGTTTTGAGTCTTTTGACATTTAAAAAATGCTGTCCTCCAAATAAATATACTCCTTAAGAATTATCCACACTGTTCATATGAGAACAAAAATAAATAGTTCGATACTTAATTACATATTCCAGTATTCATATAATCTGACTGGATGTGGATCTTAATTCCTTGCAAATCCACGTTTACTGACTGATTTCAGTGATACTATCCTCCATAGATTTGGCAAAAAAAAAAAAAAATCCATTGTAGAAAACTTGTGTTATTATTACTATGCAGAGAGTTTTGCAAATACAGAGTTGTGATGTCATGGCTGAGGCTCGGTCTTCCCTTATGAGCGTTGTTCATATTCTCTGTATGATGAATAAACAGTACTAGGTAGTATACTGTATAAGAATTAAGAAAAGTAATGATATCGTACTTCTGTCTTATACAATCTTTATCAAATTAGTTTTTTAATATTCGATGACTCAATTATTGAACTTGATCTTGTCGGGTCAAGATTGATTTCCTTTTTATAAACGTTTTAAATTTGTAATTTTCAGCACGAAGAAAATTACATGGCCCTGATATGACATGCAGATCAACCCAACACGTAAGGCCTAGCACAAACATGCCTACTAAGAAAAGGACAAGATAATTTCTTCAAGATATACTTCTACATACGTACAGACACGCACACACCAACTTCATATCTTATGTGATTAGTATGATATTGTGATACATTTTGCCAATTATCACAGTTCTTTTTTTCAAAATAATAATCAAGTGCATTAAACAAAAGATAGTCATTAGAGGATGACATCTAAAATAATTGTTTATAAGAAAATAAAATGACTACGTTATAAATGAGATAAAAACAAATAAAAACAAATGATGTGTGTTTGTTCATATCCGAATAACATCTATATTATACGTGAGATCATTATCAGTGTAGCTGAAATTAGATTCATTATACTTCAGCCAAACCGCTAGTCTATACAAGATCAAAGAGAAACTAGAATTTCAATTCAGTTGCACCTTGTTAGAACTTAGATAATTTCTTATAAGCCATATACTCCATACTATACTGAAGGGGAAAAAAAAAATTTAAGATCAAGACTGAAATCTACCTTACACTAAAGAAGGCCACTGATAAATTAATTAAATCCAGAATTACACGATTTGAGCGAGTAGTAGCCATCATTGTCTAAGCTCTAAATCTTTTGATTCGTTTTGTTATGTGAAAGGTGCTCTCTTTCAAGAATAACATATAAATTTTCTAGATGTTCCTATTAAAAAAGAATAAATCTCGATGCCAATGAAACTTCCATTTCCATATTTCATTTAACCACAAGCCCATATGGCTTACCTTTCCTTCTTGTCTGCTGGTTAACTTGTACAAACACGTGAATCATAATTTTAAAGGCTTATCTCCTACGCAAAAAATTTCTCAAAATGATGTAGTCGTCTCTCATCTTCAACCTAGCACAATTTATAATTACATTTGATACTATTTTCTCCTGCCTCACCACTAGTATGATTTCTTTACATATTTCCACGAGGTTATTACTAAAGAATGACAATCCATTCGCAAAACTAGGCGTGAACTTGGACAATACTAATTCCTTCCATCTAGAATTTTCTTTGCAAGGCCTTACTTTGTTCTCACCCAACAATTTGTTATACATTAATACAGTTTTTATTACACAGTTTGTTATACTTGAATACAGTTTGTGCTGCTCTTAATTTACATAGCAAAGTTG